ACTTGAGGCTGCGCCGCTGCTGGCCTTCGCCAGGCAACGTGCGGCGTAATATTTTTTCGTGTCAATTTACCAACCGTTACATTTTTTCGTGTCAATTTGCCAACCGTCACTGTTTTTGGTGTCAATCTATCTCAGTCCAAAATTTTCGTGTCAATTTAACGTGGGAACCCAGGAGTATTTGAATTTGGTACGCACGGCCCTCTGTTGCTCGTGCTCGCGAGATTGATCTCCATTCCACGACTTCGTGATGTTAGCGTAGAAAGTGCATGTAAAGTTGCATGGAATCATTGTTGTACTTGCTGCAGTCACTCTTCTTCGTGTGGCATTTGTTGTTGGCCNATTTGAATTTGGTACGCACGGCCCTCTGTTGCTCGTGCTCGCGAGATTGATCTCCATTCCACGACTTCGTGATGTTAGCGTAGAAAGTGCATGTAAAGTTGCATGGAATCATTGTTGTACTTGCTGCAGTCACTCTTCTTCGTGTGGCATTTGTTGTTGGCCCACCCATACTTCTATTGAATATAACACACATCCTCTCCCGACTCCAACAACTCCTGATGCATGTACGCAGGCTTCGGAGGAGCGCCGCTCTAGCGCGCTGGAGTTGATCCAGAAGGACCACGTGTTGATGGAGCGAGCACGGGTCATGCTGGGAGCGAGCGCTGCAGACCAGGCAGGAGCTAAGGAGGCGGCGGTCAACGCGGCGAACACTCGCGCGCTCCGTGCCTCGCTCCAAGCGCTGAAGCGGCACAGCAACAGCTCGACAGGGTGGACCGCGTACACGACAGCGCTCGCCACAGCAGCGGAAGCGGGGGAGCACACGTGTCCTGACCCCAACCTGTCCCACCCTGGCAACCGGTGCAAGCCCGCTGAGCCTGGTGGAGTGAGCTTTGCCGAGCGAGCCAAGAGTCTCGGCATTCGGTACGAGACTTTCAGCGACGCACGTGTGCGGATGCACAACACGAACCACGACATCGCCCCCAGGGACGCCGTGAGTGACAGGTGGTACGTGTAAACGAGCGCAAGACACGGAGTGACGTGACGAATCCCGAGGTCATGGCTCTCGCCAAGGCTTTTTGGCACTCCGACGACGTTTCCCGTGCAACAGGAAATTCAGGCATGTTGCTGCGTTGCGTTGCTGTTGCCGTAGTCTCGGGGTGTACTTGGCAGTTGTATTTTGTATTGCTGAGGTCTACCGCTACTGCTGTTGCACTAATGCTCGGTGTGGTGAACTGCAATACACCCGGTTGTTTGTCCGGATGGCACATGTGTGATGGAGATTTTCAGAGATTGCTTTTTTTTTTTCTTGCCTGCAGGAGCCAGGGACATGTACCAGGAGTCTAAGAAGAGAGACGCACCCTCTCACCCTCGGAGACAGCTCATGCACAAGGGAGCCAGAGTGTGGAGGATGTTCCTCGAGAGCCGGCGGTACCTGGCACTCAAGGGACGACTACTTGAGCAGGGCAGCAGCTTCACCGACCCTGGCAGGACAACGTTTCTGTCGACGCGGTGTGGGTGTTTAGATGGACCGCAATGTGTTTGTTAGGTTGGGGCGCCCAAAACGTATACCTGGTGTCTGATATGCCCGATCAATGTTGCTGACGCATGGCTTTGTCGCCGAGGAATAAGACCTGAACTTTTTCTTCTCCTCTGCTTGCGTCTTTCTCGATGTTTCGCTTTTTTCGGGGCGCATCGTGCTGCTGCTCGACTTGCCGAGTAGGCTGCTCCGATGACTGCATGGTAACGAAGTTGTACCCCGACTTGATTGGCAAGGTGATGGAGAAGTCGGGAAAGGAGAAGGTTGGGAGACGCACGCTTGGGACTCAATCGACCGGCGGTATCGTTCCGGTGATATCTTCGGACGAGTCCCCAGTAGCGCCTACTACCAACCCCATGCCTAGTCCGACGCTTGACGAGAGCATGGAGGAGAAGGAAGATGGAGACGAGGAGATGGAGGAGGAAAGGGAGGAGGAAGAGGAAGAGAAAGAGGAAGAGGAGGAGGAGGACGGGGAGGAGGGGGAGGACAGGGAGGAGGAGGAGGAAGAGTAGAGGGAGGAAGAGAGATACTAAAGCTCAAGAGGGCGCGTACGCATTGCGAAGAGGAGGTTCTCGGAGTTGGGCTAGTGATTATGTGTTGACTGCCAACCGTGAAGAGTACCGACACTTAAACCGATCAATATGTGGGCAAATCCCCGTTTTGTCCACGGGGGGTGTACTCATAGTCGTGCATGCCGTAGTCGTTAGACCATTGACCTCGCATCCCTACAAAGCCG